GCTAGCATCTTCAGTGGCATTTAGGGGATGTTGATGTTCTTCTGTTCATAAGGGCTTCAGGTGTGGGTGTGTCAAGTGAGGGTCTTGGGATGGGTCAGGTGTGAGTCATCAGTGAGGGACTTGTGATGGGTCTTGTGATGGGGAGGTCACGTCAGGCCAGGGTCATTGGGAGTTGCTGGTGGGAATGGGGGATTGCGCGGGATGGTTGAGGGTCAGTGCTACCTCTGGTTGACTGTGCGGTTGACTTGGATCCCGAGGATTTTGTAGGCTGGTTGTGGGTCGATGTGTCTGTGGATGGAATTGCTGGTGGAGTGTCGGGCTCCAATGAACTCACGAGCGTGGCGGGTGGTAACGTGGCCGATGATTCTTGTGTCGGTCCAACCTAACTGGTGCCGTTTGGTGTCAGTGTGGGTAGAGATTAAGGATTTGGGGGGCTACACATATTGACTGCAGCTCGTATAGCATATGCGCAATGTTGGAAGAGTGAAAATATTCCCACAAATGATATGATTATGTATAAAATTTTGGAATGCGCAGAAATGAACAGACTTACGTTAGAACTAAAAGATAAGGAGACGTCAGAATTTTATGAAATTTGGAATAAATGTTAGAATTGGCTAGAACAGAGAAAGAAAAAGATATAATTATTGATGTATATAAAATGTAAATAAGATGTAAAGAATATTTAAAATGTAAAGCACTGTTCTGTTAGAACAAAAGATTTATGTTTATGTAGTTTTGCTGTATGGTGTATGGTGAAAAATAAAAAAAAAATAAAAAATAAAAGGATTTGGGGGGTTGTGGAGTTTGACTGAGCCGGGATAAGCTAAGCGAGCAAACTCTGATGGGCATGAGCAGCTGCCAAAAGCTACCTGCCTGGGGAGGGGGGCACCCAACATTTATTGGCCAACGCACAAGCTGTGAGTATTATGGGAAAGGCCTGGAAACAGGGGGTCCCTGGTGGATTAGACCAGGGGACGCCCGAGCCATCCGACAGCTTTCAACCTCGGCCTTCTGCCTTCACTACTCAATCAGCAGGAGATTTAGGGGTAGCCCTACCCTTGCTTGTACCCCACAACCTGAGAGGACAGAGGGATGCCACGGCTGAGGGAGGACCCCAAAATCCTCACCCTCCAAGAATAGCCCCCTGGGGGATGTTTCCGGCATGCTGCTCCAGCCCAAGAAGTCGCCAAGCAGAAACTACCGGGGTGGGGTGGGGGGCGGAGAGGGGGGGGTTGTAAGCAAAGTGAAAAGATACCCATTGCAGAAGCCCCTCGTGATAGAAGACGGGGGGGATCAGCTGCAGCGTGGCAGTCCCGGGTGGCACCAGACAAGGAGAAAAAGAAGCAGAAGAGAGAGAGAGAGAGA